TTCCTTACGGGAATGTCATTTGACACTAAACATGTAATTAAGTCTACAATATGTCACATATTGCTAAATAATAGCTCTAATCAAAGTGGTAAGGAAATTTAATTCTTTCACTATGTATCCATTTATAATTTGACTAGCAGATGCCCGCGACTTTGTACGCGCGGAGTTTGAAAAAAATAACAATAAATATAGCCTTTACCACCCGGAGGTAGCTTCCCAATAGTGAAAGAGAACAAATAGGTTAGTATAGTAGTAACTTTGAAGTCTATCCAATGGATTTATTTAGATCTTTCTTCTTTATAGATTAGCGTCCTTAATACCGTGCCTTGGGTGTTAAGTGGAAAATTAATTAGTTCTGCATATATTATGACGTTCTTTTTTTCTTTGTAAATCTATATATAAAAGAAAGTCGTGTTAGTTACACTATTTTTTAATATAAAATTGGTGGGGAGAGAGCTTAGAGCAAGGAGACGGAAATAGAATACAATTTATTCTTTTTTTCAAATTTAGGCCTTAAAGAACTGCCTTTTTATTTAACTTATCTATAAATAATATCCGTGTAGTCAGACGGAGTCGAGGGCGACAGCTAGTATTAGATATATATTTTATGAACCATTGACGTTTGAAAATGAAGACGGATATTGCGGCTGGCATATAAAATGTAAATGGACCTTTGGTATGTATTTTCTGGCAACTACATGCACACAAGAACCATGTTTTATATGTAAATGCGCTTTTCGTTTGCAAAGTGCTTTCTTGAAGGAGCTGATCCTGCAACTGTGACAGAGAATGAATTTTACTTTAAATGAGAAAAGTCAACGGAAACAAATATAGTTTTATACTATTTTAAATTTTGAAGATACTTACATTGGAATACGTTAATAATTCAAAGTATTCGAGTCAACGTAACAATAGAAGTTTTTAAATATTAAAATTGCCGTTTGTATTTGTTTTATGTCTATTTCAAGTTACAAAAACACTCATATTTTCAATTACGCCTAATCGTAGTTAAGCTAAGATCAGTATAATTTGATGAAGGAATTTAAAATTTAAATAAATCGTCTTGTTTAGTTAATCTTACTACTTATTAATTTTTGAATATGAATGATAAGATGGATAGATGTTTGTTAGAAAATAGCTTCAGAATGGTTTGACAAATGATGCTGAAATTTGGTATAGATAGAACATATAGCCTATTAATTTATTTCTTATAAATAGTGGGTTACTGCAAGTTTTATTTATAAAATACATAATTATGTAAAATAAATACAGAATACCAGGACAAACAATTTTGTTAGCCGTTATATTAGAATCAAAATTTATCGAATCATAATCCAAAATTAATATTAGATATTGTATAGCGTCGGTTAATTTACAAGAGGAATTTAATACATTCGATTAGGTAAGATAATGGTTAGCGCCCTGAAATGTGCGTAATAATAGAAGCTATTCAGTATACCGTATTAAACTGTACTTTATGAAAGTAATCTTATATTAAATATATTACCATGAGATTTACTGACATAAAAAACTTACAAACACATAATAATATTATAAATGCGAATGTTTCGATGTATGAATGGATGTTTGTTAGAAAGCATCTTAAGAACGGCTGCATCTCAATCAAATTTGCCGTACATGTAGAAAATAGCGTGTAAGAACAAAAGCCTAATAATTAATTTTTTTTCAATTATATCCACGCGAAAAGATTCGCGGGCAACAGCTAGTATTACCATACTTGTCATTTTACTAACATTATAAATTCGAATGCTTGTATGTAAGTTTGTTAGAAGGAACCTCCAGAACGGTTGTAAGGAGAGAACATAGCCGGGAAGAACACATAGGGTACTAAGTAAGTCTTTTTTAAATTCGCATGAATGAAGTCGTAATACATGTTTCTGCACAAGTTTTCGGCAGTGGAAACTTAAGGGTTTTAGTTACGTTTAAGAACTTTACATTTAAGTTCGTTACAGATTTTTTTCATATCGAGCGAGCGGCCACCAGAAATCGCTGAAGTAGCGAAGTGACAGTTGCCCATAGACATACACAATTGCATATGCGTTGCCTACCTTTAATTGACGGAGGAGAAGATGTACGGAAAGAAAAGGTTTTTTCCTGTCCGTGCATCCTCTCATCCGGAAAGTCCACTTCCACTTTCCATCCTTTCCTTATAAGAGAAAGAGTGGGAAGGAAAAGAGGACTAAATTAGGCCTCCGGAACGCACGCTCATCAGACAAAACGCGGAATTGCTTCCACTTCACGCCAGTGTTCTGTGTGGTATTTCACCGGGCGAGCCGGGCCAATTCGTGCAAAGATGTTATAGCGGGCTCTACCACTGTTAAAACTTATGCTATTTTTTATATACTGTTCTTTTTTTTTAAACATATTAATGATACTTAGTGAAAGGTCTGACTTCAAAAGATTTTTTTTATCAAAAGGAATCACTAAACCGTATATGACGAAGGTTTTGATATACGTATCAGAACTTATTTCCGATCGGATTAAACTTTTGTCCATGGCTAACCGTACATAATATGAATGTACATAAGTGGGTATATGGTAATCTCTAAGTACTTAGTAATGTGTCAAGGATTACCGCTTTGCGCCATATGCTCTTAGCAATTTGCTATTACTTCGAGGTCTTGGTGAACTTTAGATGTGAAAAAATATCTTAATAAAAGTTATGTCATGTTTTATCTATCTTCACAAGTTGTTGGTTTAAAATACATACAGTTAAATACTGAGACTTTTTGATTATCATTATTTAAGGTCGCAATAAGAATTCGATCTTTAAGATCGATATAAAGACGATATCTATAAGTAAATATGGGTTGAGATCAAATATTAATATCGGCTGTAATTTTCTTCTCATTACACAGTAGCCGAAAAGTCGTCACTTATTTAAAACTGCTTAAGTACTTGAATCTGAAGGTAAGATTTTTTAATAATAATATCAGATTTTTGGTAAATTATTAATATTTCTTGTACAATTCCAACTAAGCTATGCTTATACTAGGATATGGTTTACGACAATAGTCGAATGGCGGGATTCGAATTTGACCATATGATCGGAAATCCGTACCGTACCATTAGGCTATTGGCATATTACAACGATTATTAAATTAACTCCATTCGATTAATCGTTGGATGATTGTGTAGTGGATAATATTCCACCGTCCAACTGATAGGGTGTCGTAAGCAGCGTATCAGCCGAGTTAATTAATAGGAATCATTTCGGTTATTAATCACCACTATTGAGAACGCTGAAGTAATCGATCACTATTGTTTTTCCTCATTTGAGTATTACAGAATTAATGTGGTGGCTTATTCATATCATGTTCGTTTGAATTTGTATCAATCTTACTAATGTTATCCACCCTCAAAAATCAATACATACAAGTCTGGTGTGTTATGAAATTATTTACAAAACTTTTTAATTTCCAATGAGGCTTAATGTTCGTGGAAACGGGATGAGAGATTGTAGGAAAAATTATAATGTGAATTAATTGATGGAGGCGTTTCTAAAGTAAGTTTTATGTGATGAATGTAATTTTGGAAAATTGAAAACGTTTTTTTTCCTATTCTTTATTAATTCAGTATAATAAATGTTGATTAGCTATAATATTTTTTTTTAAATTTAACCATCATTGTTAAGTGAAAGATATGTAGAATTTAGACCTCTACTGAGATCCAAACGTATGTTATCTTCGTCGCTTTCAATCCAATAGAATCTCGTAACTTTTACCAAATATTTGATATCACTTTGTCTCATATTGAAAGTGTAAATGGTCTTATTACGTCTCTTTATCTTTGCCATTTAAATTTGATTATATGAATTGAATAATGTAGCCATTAAAAAGGCATTTTTTCCTCAATTTAAAGCAATACATTGTCTTCGATTTAATGATTAGAGTGAAAGCGTTTTTACAAAAATTCAGTGTGAATACCTAGGTAGGTAGATAGGTAATCAGATAACCTTTATAAGTCATTAGTAGGGGGTTCAATCGGCTCTGCGTGACGGGACTGTGAAGAGGTCTCGTGTTGTAAATACAGTGCAGTCATTACTCGGCGAGCGTGAGAGCTGAAAATATTTTGCCCGTCTCACTGAATTAACATTCCGGACACGACTACTTTAAAGAATTTGCCTTCTTTCCTTCAGAAATAAAGGCGTAACATTTTAATACCTATCACGCTTAGGAATATTAATGGTGGCATTAATATCTTAAGGAATATCTACGCTGATAATATTTAAATATTCTTTTTCCTTGATTTTATTCAAATTTACACAAAATTAATTATAATTTTTTTTCAAAATAAATTCAGTACTATAAAAAGATGACTTCGTTTAATGAATGCGTTATATTTTGTTTCATTTACTTAAATATATAAACAAAAACCATAAATTAAAATTGTGAAAGCTGCATTAAAAAAAAAACTAGTATTTAATATAGATTTTTAATATCTTAAGTGTTTTAAGTAATAACTCGCGTACCAGAAAACATGATTCAAGGAAAATACACCTGGCTAAGAAAAAATGATAATATTTACGTAATCGCTGACAACATGTCACTTTTTTATACCTTCATACTTCCATCGTATACCTTAATCTACTGTCAGAGAACACTCTAAATTTCTATCGCTGATTACTGATGTTTAGCAAAGAAATTCAAATTTAATTTTTTAATGTTTATAGTCAACCTATAATAATGCAATTTCATTTTGCACTATGTGTAACTAAAATCATTCTCATTTTAGAATTTATATGTCTAAAATATTTTATAAAATCACTATATTAAGAAGGAATTGACTGAATGAGGGTCTGACTGACGGTCCGACTGATTAACTAGTTGAGATCTGAGATCCTACCATAACTAAATCTTAACCCCCGCTACTTTCAAAAGTACAACATGTAGTTTAACAAACGAGTATTTATGCAAATCATATCGATGAGGTATATCTGGATTATTTTCTTGTTAAAACGAAGTGTAAAAAAAACTTACCATCATGCGAATCGTAGATGAAAATGACATTTTTCCATCCGTAGTAAGTGATCGTATCTATTACAGCTTGGTGATAGTCCGGTCGCATGCTCACTGCGTAGTCTTTCAGGCCTGACGAAGGTGGTATCACCTGCGAAGTTGAAATTGTATCTAGAAAAATATTTTCATAACTAAGCGAAGTTTTCAATGCAAATTGAAAAGTAGAAACAACGAAAAAATGTTACATTTAAATTAAATTTCTTTTAACTTTATTTGTATACGCGATTTAAGACATGATTTATCTGTTTTGCGACCAAAATGACAAAATTTAAAAAATGCTAAATTTGGTCACAAAAAAGGAAAAACCAGTATAAAGCAAATATTGCATAAAATATTAAATAATATTTTCGAAATATTTTACTAGGAAGAGTATAATTATATATAATGATTTTATAGCATCCCCGCAAAGTGACAATTTACCCGATGACAGTTGTCGTTCACTGGAAAGTTTATTCTTTGTTCTACGTAGGACTAATGCTCGAAGGATTTTGAATTAAGAAGCGAGATGTGGGTTTCGCTTTAGATAAAACTCATAACCGTGAACTGTTTTGTTGACTCCAGGAAACAAAAGAAAGACTTCTTTTATTGTTTGTTCAGGGTACGGGTGGTTGAATTGCGCACTTACTTCCGGTAATGTAGTTACATTGTTTTTGTTTTCCATTATTATTTTTGGTGAAAATACTGCGAATATTGATATCGTGTTTTATATAGTATTTTTAAATTTTCTTTAAACAACAAAATAGCAATTTTTTTATAAGAGAAGGGGGCAAACGAGCAACGAATCACCTTTAATTTAATACTGCTGCTTTTGATTTTCAGTTTTTAAAACCTGTTTCTTTTCTAACAAAAGGGGTGAATCCTTTTTACAACTCGTTTTCGGAACTTTGTAATAACTGTGCACAATTTCGGAACAGTTAAAGTACATTTTGAGCCATTTTGTTGGAGGAAACGTTTGCGGTCAACTCAGCGCGGAAATCGCACACTGTAGGAAAGGAGTATTTCAAAGCTGAAAGCAATGACGTGCACTGGCTTTGTATTTCACAAAATGCATGTACATACAATGAATGAATGTAAAGAAACGAGGAATTTTTCAAACCATCCAAAGAAATGAATTTTATCAATAAAAAGATCTTATAAGAAATTAAGTTTTACCCACAAAATTAAATTAGGTTTTTTTTTTTAAATGTTTTAAATACTTGTAAAAATTAGTACGAATTTTTAACATTGTAATGTAATAATAAAATAATAATTAATAAAGGAAACTTAAATATTCATCAAAAAAGTAGAAAATTAAACTAAAATAAAAATTGGAAAAGAGAGAATTTCGTCGCCTTTGCAATAAAAACTACAAATGGATATGCAAACGACAACGTGTTCTCGAAATAAGTGTTTGTTCTGTTGGCAAACAATTTGCGCAATTGTTGAGGGGACGTCCTTGTTTAATTTTAAAATTACGTGGTAAAATATTTTCCAAATATTCGAAAGAATATTTATATAAAGAAAAAGTCGTATGCACATAAACATTAGAAATAACAACTTAACTCTTCTTGCTATTTTATGATGCATATAAATTATTTAACAACAAATTCCTAATAAAAACGTAATATTTAACAAACCAAAAGAAAAAAAATAATAGTATATTTGGCAAAGTATTTATCTTAATTATCTACACTGTAGGTTCTTATTATTATAGATTCTGTTCTAATGATAGCTGTTTGAGAATCTTTTGTTTGCTTTCCAATTCAATTTGAAGTGTAGTAACGTGAAGTAATATTATCACAAACACTTCGGGAGACGGTAAACACCTGATGTCAGAACTCATACGACTTTATGTGCGAACTACACGGAGCCGTGAGAAGTGATCGTAGATCCAATAACATTGAGAGCACAAAGCACGAACTTATAACAACGGTGCAAACGTAATTTGATTTTATTTTCTGTTTGAAATTCACGACGTAAAAAAAATGTAGACGTTTTCTTAATGGCATTTTTATGTTGAAAATCTCGCAAGACAGTAACGTCCTCCCTTTTAGCTTGATTATTGTTATTTACTTTTATGTTTCAAGTTATCTTACTAATATTATAAATGCGAATATTTGAGTGGACGGATGGGTGATGATTGAAGAACGGCTTCAAGGACCTCGCTAATTTGGCATAGATGTAGAACATAATTACTTTCATTCTACGCGGACGGAGTCGCGGGCGAAAGCTAGTGTTTCATACAATTAAAAAATTAAAATGCTATCCGTAATAATATGGCAAATAAATTGTTGTTTTGGAGGACGGAAACATCAAAAGTACAGGACTCGGTTAATTTCGTGTTGTGCATTACGTGTGGGTTTACAATGCGCAATATATTTTAGGCTGATTGTATCGCCAGTGGAAACATATGTTAATGTATGTCAATAAATGAAATAGAAACAGTATAGAAGGTAGACCTATGACCAATGGACAATACCGTCCCAATGTACATAGGCGTGAAGCGGTGAACCAGATGCAAATATTTGAAACGTGTACACAGATCAGCTTAATTCAAAACCAAGCTTCCCCGAGTACGTAACTAAACAGTGGCTTAGTTAACAGTAAACAGTTTACGTTTGATAATAGGACAAATCACGGACAACTTTATGTGACCTACGCAGAATCCTACCAAAACAGCATTGCGCATATAAATTATTTTAGATACACTGTAATTTTCTTTAGTATTGTGTATTTATTTTCGAAACAAGTAAATTAAGAAAATAAATAATCTAAGATGAGTAAAAATAAATTCTTTTATTTTGTTCAATGTTTGTGCTTCTTAGAGACGAATAGAATCTTTTCTTTAAAGATTTCCATTATCTTAATAAAATTCGCCATTCCACAATTTCATTGCTAATTTAATATTTATTAATTGTTTTTTTTTTACTTTATTTCATAAATTATTTCTTCAAATATGAAATAATAATTAAGCATTCAATGAATAAGGATAGTATAATTACCTTTTCGGGGAACCAGGGCGTGATGAAAGGCAGCTGGAAGGTGTTAGTGTAGGAGTGAAGAGTGTCAAAGGAGTCAGCCATCACCGCACCCAGCATGGATATCACGTTCCGATTGAACTGGTTGCAAACTGAAACAAAAGAATTCTAATTTCATTACATAAATATTTCCACAGTTTTTTGTTTTCTATTCTTCACCATTAATAATGTTTTTTTCCCGGATAGAAGGGAGAGAATATAATCGGGCAAAAGTTTGATTTAAAGTTCTTCTAATTACTTGGGACGCTATTTGTTTTTTTACAGACCGCAGGACGGAACTCAGCAACTCCAATCTGATACTACAGTTGCGACTCTTACTTAGATTTAAGTTAGTAATTCGTGACTTAAGATTACCATTTACTTTCATGTCAAATAATCAAAAGTAATTAACTAAAATGAACGAAGCTAATGTTTAGATACAGACTAAGAAATTCGACAGGAATCCCACAGTAGATAAATACATAACTATAGATATAAAGTGACCAAAATTTCATAGTCCTTAAATAAAGCTTCTTTATTTAAATCCCGTTGTTTATATACAATTCGAAAGGAATTGTTATCTACCTAATTGACCGGCGTTTACAATTTCACCCTTCACAATCCTGTACTGACAAGGGGATACTTGTCATTGCTTTCAAATAGTTAACTACTTAATCAACGGGTCCCCTTATTTTGTGGAGCTACAGCTCGGGTAGCCTGACTCTAATTGCCCCCGTTTCCACTGAAGGCTCGTTCTGTTTTTATTCACCCTGTAGCTGTGTGGTACAATCAAATGCCTACAATACACTTTTCTCTGTATACATTTACCGATGCTTTGCTTGTAACGTCTGCGGATATTGTAATCCCATTACAGCTTAGCGACGATTGCGATTGGTTGAAATACATTAATTAACAACATTAATTAACTGACTGTTGCTTAAGTTTACATACATATTTGATAGGTTAACTCTTTAAATTTAGAAACAATGTAAAAATGTAAACAATAATGTAAACAATCTAGATGTCAGCAATAAAATAATAATCAAGTTATTATAGATAAACAAATGTTTCTATATTTATAAACATATTTAATAAATACTCAGAGACCTGTCCTAAATTATTTGTGTTTGGGTAAGGATCTTTTGTATACGTATTTACCCAAAAATATATCTGAAATCTTCTCGTAACAACGAAATCTAATCGGTCATCCTGTCATGTTGAAAGTCATTATATGATATTTTCGTTCACACATTTCTTAGACAGATTACCTAATTGCATCTTTAGTTTGCTTTATTTTAACAAGAAACGCGGGGAATATTAATGTGACAATGTAAGACTTGAATATTTGATATTACTCAAGCACTAAGTTTGCAGTTATAACGTAGGTAGCTGGGAGATAAACTCAGTCAATAGTTACTCCAAGTTCGTACTCCACTAGTAAGTACAACTTGATTTATATACGTTAATTTATGTTTAATGTTACATTGTTACTCTATTGCTTGGGGAATATTATCTACAGATTTATCTATTTGAGAAATGTGAGTGGAATTGTACGTGTATTTAATAAATGAGTACTAATGCCTCTAACTCGAGATTTAGTCAAAGACATTTTTGATACAATTGTGTCCACTGATTAAGCTTTTTTTCTAATAACGAAAACAGAAAAAAAAAGTTTTTTTTGTAAAATATACAGAGTAAAAAGGGCAATAAACTTACCATTTAATACAAATAAAAACTAACATAGTACACAGTTCTTTATTGCGACGGACCTTAATTTCCGGCAGCGTAAGGAAGCTGATGAGATTTAATTTTGAAATCCTTTCCACTTAAATCTTATACATATAACAAAGTGTAATCGAAATTGATGTACAATTTGTAAAAAAACTATATAATTTTATTAATATAGTTAGAAATAAACCAAACGAAATATTTTCATTTAAATATATAAACGTAACATATAAAATATAAATAAAATAGTGACAATAAAATTATCTAACTAATTACTTAATATAGGACAAAGGTAAAAATAAAGGCAAGAGGATTGTAAGTTGTATTACAAATTACATCTATAAAGTGAAGTAAAATTTCGATAGATATTTAGTTAATCAAATAATAAAAACATATTACTTCAAAACGTTCAGTATTTTATTGCTATTAAACAATTCAATTGCGAGTTTTTGTATCTCGTTGAGAATATTGAATAAAGGTTTTTGAATCATCTTTCCCGCCACGCACGCATTAGTGCTCTCACTACTTCCAAATATTGTTGAGGGTATTCCTGTTGAAATATGGATGCGGTAATAAAAAAAAGCAAATATCGTCGGTGTGGCCGCAGGGGGCTGAGAGCATGCGGGTCACGTCTGCTGGCATCACAGACGCCTCGCACCCTCTGATACTCGCCTCGAAACTGTTAGTCCTTATAAGCGTTGCGTAACTTCCTAACCGGTATTCTCCATTTAAGTTTTGATAGCTTTTGTCTAAATTGTTATTAGATTTGAAACATTTCATACATTGTTTGTAATAAAATATTTTTTGTTATAATACAATTATCCATACTAAGTAGCTGACCCGACAGACGTTGTTTTGTATATATTGTATATATGTATTTTGTTTATATAAATTATTTCCATGGAATTTAAAAACGCTAGCGGTGGACAATCCTTAGCACTTAGGAGTATAAAAAGTAGATAGTAGCTGATTATCAGACCTACTGAATATGCATATAAAATTTAATAAAAATCGATAAAGTCGTTTTCGAGGAATATGGTAACGAACATTGGGACACGAATATTATATTTCTTGTTTGTATAAAATAGGCTACGAAACTAAAGAACCGATTTGTGAAAAAATTATTTCTCAGTTAGGTTAGTGTATCCCAGGGTGACAGAGGCTATATTTATAACTAGATTTTTGTTCAATCGAAGAAAGTTCAATTTGTACGCTACTGCTTTATCTTATTTAGTAGTCGTACACACCTTGCTTATAAAATATTAAATTTGTTACGCAATAATGTGTATTTGTAGCAGCTTTGAAAATAGCGTACATGTACCGAACTTAGGTTACATATTGAAATTAATCGGTGCCAATTCTCCAACATTCTACCCTAAGTACAGTCCTTTCGTAAAGTGACTCTTAACTAATGGAACAGTTTTTGTTTGTGTTGGGACGCACTATTTGGCGACTTTTTCCTTTAAGCTCTGCGGTAAATGTGCCGCGAAGATATAAAGTAACTTCTCAAATTCCATCTAGTTTAGTAAGTACTTCAGGTCTCTTCCTCTTCCCTCTTTCTCACAGTAATGCTAGCTTAAGTTAAATGCCTGCGTTATGTATATTAAAAAAACATTGCAACCTTCATTTTATATGAGAATAATTGTCGCTTTCATTTCGATTAAAAATAATAATTTTGCCAAATTTTCCATCAAATGTTTAATAAAAAATATGTAATTCGTTTTTGAGGTTAAGCTTCTTAGTTAGCTGTACAATAATCGATAAGTGGGAAGCGAATTTAATTATATGTCAACACCCATCGCTGGTTTTGTATAAAGGATTAAATTCATAGTAGTGTTATAATGCACATGGAGTATCCTGCTTCGTATAGATCCTTAATGCTTCCGCTCCGCCGGCAACTGTCGAGCAATATTCGCCGCTCCACAATAAAGCTCCGGTGGCTTGCTCGTGTTCTGTCATAATTTTCATGCAAATTATCTTTTTAAAGTGAACTACAGCCTGTTTTATTTTCATATCAACTCGCGTCCTTTACCTTCTTATATTATAATGGACTAGATTACCATGTTTTTTTGTCTCTAAGTCATTAAACCTGCGCATATTTAGACAAGAGTAATTTTCTTTGCACACTTTTTTTTATTTCTGCACCGTGTATGATAAAATAGATAATTAAGTCCTAAAGGAAATATATTTAATCTTACTAATATTACAAATGCTTATATTTGAATGTATGGACAGATGTATGAACCTTTGTTAGAAGATATGTATGTATATATATATATATATATATATATATATATATATATATATATATATATATATATATATATATATATATATATATATATATATATATATATATATATATGGATAGTATAATATATAATATATATGGATTTCACTGAAATTTGGCATAGATTATTATTATAGATATTTTTAATTCCGTGCACAAGGAGTCGCGTGCGATAGCTATAAGATAAATAATTTTCAATACAAACCTATTTATAAGTTACGCGGCATTTGTGATATTAAAGAATTTATCCTTGTCAAAGCTATTTACTAATTATTCTCTATATCAACACTGTATATCTATTTTTGATACCTTAAAATTCTTTATTATAAATACTTCATTACGTCAGAATTATTTTATTTTATTTAACAAGTAATATTGTGCAATAATTTTCTCATCACTTATAACCTGATTGTCAAGCTCTATATAAATATAATAAACAATTACGTATGACAATGTAAAATCTGTAGTAGATATTTATATATTAGTACTTATGTAAGTTGGTGCATTAAATTTCTTCACAGATGTACGTTAAAATTCAGCAGTAGCCTGTATTTGAATAGACCAGCGACTGGCCATGCAAATTACGCTAAGCACAAAGTATCTGTGATGTAGACGGTGTGTGCACTCCACTGCATAGGGATGGCTGATTATTCTACAACTTAAAATCGACTTATTTCCAAATACATTCTTTTCCTTTTTGTATTCTTTTTAGTACGTAAGTCATTGTATTTTTAATTTACTACAATGTCTTAATCTATATATATATAAAAGAAAGTCGTGTTAGTTACACTATTTATAACTTAAGAACGGCTTTACCGATATGGCTGAAAATTTGTGAGGAGGTAGCTTAGAGCCAGGAGACGGACATAAGACTATTTATTCATTTTTTTTCGAATTAATGCCTCGAAGAGCTGCTTTTTATTTAACTTACTAATATTATAAATGCGAATGATTAGATGGATGTGATGTGGATGGGTGTTTGAAGTTATCTCTAGAATGGCTGAACGGATCTTGATTAAATTTGGCATACGTATAGAATATAGTCTGAAAGAACACATAGGCTATCTTACTTAAGTTTTTTTTTTAATATCTACG